CACACAGTAAGGCATGTGAAGAACTACACACACTGTCGTGTTAAAACATTCGTTCCCTGTCGCTCAACACAGACGGTGTGATATGTGAAGAACTACACACACTGTCGTGTTAAAACATTCGTTCCCTGTACATTCCACACACACAGTAAGGCATGTGAAGAACTACACACACTGTCGTGTTAAAACATTCGTTCCCTGTCGCTCCACACAGACGGTGTGATATGTGAAGAACTACACACACTGTCGTGTTAAAACATTCGTCCCCTGTCGTTCCACACAGACAGTGAGATATGGGAAGAACTACACACACTGTCGTGTTAAAACATTCGTTCCCTGTACATTCCACACACACAGTAAGGCATGTGAAGAACTACACACACTGTCGTGTTAAACAGACGGTGTGATATGGGAAGAACTACACACACTGTCGTGTTAAAACATTCGTCCCCTGTCGTTCCACACAGACGGTGTGATATGTGAAGAACTACACACACTGTCGTGTTAAACAGACGGTGTGATATGGGAAGAACTACACACACTGTCGTGTTAAAACATTCGTCCCCTGTCGTTCCACACAGACGGTGTGATATGTGAAGAACTACACACACTGTCGTGTTAAACAGACGGTGTGATATGGGAAGAACTACACACACTGTCGTGTTAAGCAGACGGTGTGATATGTGAAGAACTACACACACTGTCGTGTTAAAACATTCGTCCCCTGTACATTCCACACAGACGGTGTAATATGTGAAGAACTACACACACGCTTGGTTTATTTCTCTAGAATGTAAGGTACTGGACACCAGGCATGTCTAGCAATGATACAACACTGGTCTACACATTCTGGTCAAGTGTACTTAGTCACTCAAGTGAGAATGGAATCACTCAAGTGTGGACTGAATCACATTGTTACCACGTTACAGTTAAAAATATTCTTGACACATATTTACTTTGGGAAAATTGTGTAACCGATATTTGGATTGAACTCAATCAAGGAAGTTGTGTAACGTTTATTAATCACCAGGGCATAAACATAGGGTTTCCCGGATAAATGTCACAATCGGTTTTTCTGGTAATGTTATTATTTTGAAAAAAAAAATATATATGTTAAATCTACAATATTTACTATATTGGTGTTTTTTTAGCCGAAACATTAATATTTTTACAATGTTTTCACTTGTACGTCCTAACAGCGGTATCATTTCTAACAATTTTGGTCACGACACTGGGACAGAATAAAAAACCTTCGTAATATGGGCAAACGATCAATGTTAGTTCGCATTGTACTAAATGGAAACATGCCAGAAGACGAGTAGGTAGAATGAAGTCCTGTTGTATTTCTTAGGAACAGCTCAGGGACAGTCTTCATCACAATAACGGACATTAAGTTAGTAAGCTATTGAAATAATGAAGAGTGAAAGCCGATAGGTCTGAAACTAAGTACTCAAACCGTGTATCTCGTCCAATGCTGCGCGACAGAAGTACTTGTCAATGTGAAGTAGTGAAGAGTTAAAACCAAATCGTCTTTACTCAAACAAAAGAGCAAAAATGTGATTACCATACATCAAGTGACACGAGATTTATAATAAGGCTTCTATACCTTCCGCTTTGCGGGTTTCAACACAAAACATAGCCTCTTAGCATCACTGAGGAGTCCAAGAAGGACGATACAGCTGTATGACGTAGCATCACAGACGAGTCCTAGAAGGACGATAGAGCTGTATGATGTAGCTTCACAGTCGAGCCCAAGAAGGACGAAACAGCTGCAGGATGTAGAATCACTGATGAGTCATAGAAGGACGAAACATCTGTATGATGTAGTATCACTGAGGAGTCCTAGAAGGACAAAACAGCTGTATGATGTAGCATCACTGACGAGTCCTAGAAAGACGAAACAGCAGTATGTTGTAGCATCACTGACGAGTCCTAGAATGACGAACAGCTGTATGTTGTAGCATCACTGACGAGTCCTAGAAGAACGAAACAGCTGTATGATGTAGCATCACTGACGATGGCTAGAAGAACGAAAGAACTGTATGATAAAGCATCACTGACGAGTCCTAGAAGAACGAAACAGCTGTATGATGTAGCATCACTGACGAGTCCTAGAAGAACGAAACAGCTGTATGATGTAGCATCACTGACGAGTCCTAGAAGAACGAAACAGCTGTATGATGTAGCATCACTGACGATGCCTAGAAGAACGAAAGAACTGTATGATATAGCATCACTGACGAGTCCTAGAAAGACGAAACAGCTGTATGTTGTAGCATCACTGACGAGTCCTAGAATGACGAACAGCTGTATGATGTAGCATCACTGACGCTGCCTAGAAGAACGAAAGAACTGTATGATATAGCATCACTGACGAGTCCTAGAAGAACGAAACAGCTGTATGTTGTAGCATCACTGACGAGTCCTAGAAGAACGAAACAGCTGTATGATGTAGCATCACTGACGATGCCTAGAAGAACGAAAGAACTGTATGATATAGCATCACTGACGAGTCCTAGAAAGACGAAACAGCTGTATGTTGTAGCATCACTGACGAGTCCTAGAATGACGAACAGCTGTATGTTGTAGCATCACTGACGAGTCCTAGAAGAACGAAACAGCTGTATGATATATCATCACTGACGAGTCCTAGAAGAACGAAACAGCTGTATGATGTAGCATCACTGACGATGCCTAGAAGAACGAAAGAACTGTATGATATAGCATCACTGACGAGTCCTAGAAGAACGAAACAGCTGTATGATGTAGCATCACTGACGATGCCTAGAAGAACGAAAGAACTGTATGATATAGCATCACTGACGAGTCCCAGAAGAACGAAACAGCTGTATGATGTAGCATTACTGACGATGCCTAGAAGAACGAAATAACTATATGATATAGCATCACTGACGCGTCCTAGAAGAACGAAACAGCTGTATGATGTAGCACCACTGACGATGCCTAGAAGAACGAAACAGCTGTATGATGTAGCATCACTGACGATGCCTAGAAGAACGAAACAGCTGTATGATGTAGCATCACTGACGATGCCTAGAAGAACGAAACAGCTGTATGATGTAGCATCACTGACGATGCCTAGAAGAACGAAAGAACTGTATGATGTAGCATCACTGACGCGTCCTAGAAGAACGAAAGAACTGTATGATGTAGCATCACTGACGAGTCCTAGAAGAACGAAAGAACTGTATGATATAGCATCACTGACGAGTCCCAGAAGAACGAAACAGCTGTATGATGTAGCATCACTGACGATGCCTAGAAGAACGAAAGAACTGTATGATGTAGCATCACTGACGCGTCCTAGAAGAACGAAACAGCTGTATGATGTAGCATCACTGACGATGCCTAGAAGAACGAAAGAACTGTATGATGTAGCATCACTGACGATGCCTAGAAGAACGAAAGAACTGTATGATGTAGCATCACTGACGAGTCCTAGAAGAACGAAACAGCTGTATGATGTAGCATCACTGACGAGTCCCAGAAGAACGAAACAGCTGTATGATGTAGCATCACTGACGATGCCTAGAAGAACGAAAGAACTGTATGATGTAGCATCACTGACGCGTCCTAGAAGAACGAAACAGCTGTATGATGTAGCATCACTGACGATGCCTAGAAGAACGAAAGAACTGTATGATGTAGCATCACTGACGATGCCTAGAAGAACGAAAGAACTGTATGATGTAGCATCACTGACGAGTCCTAGAAGAACGAAACAGCTGTATGATGTAGCATCACTGACGCGTCCTAGAAGAACGAAAGAACTGTATGATGTAGCATCACTGACGATGCCTAGAAGAACGAAAGAACTGTATGATGTAGCATCACTGACGATGCCTAGAAGAACGAAATAACTGTATGATGTAGCATCACTGACGAGTCTTAGAGGATGCAGTTTAATTCATTGTAATGTATCTTACTCTAAATATAAAGGTGATTCACTTGCTTGTGTTTAGTACAATTTATGCAATTGAACTTGAATTCATGTAAGTTAATTATTAGCGACTACTGATATGGTAACTTAATTGCTGTAGACATCGTACAATTGTTTTGTCCTTAGTTGTTAAGTTATGAGAGGTCTGCCCTTCATTCAAAGCACTATTAGTGTATGACCATTGCTATTGAGAGGACTACGATTCTAAACAATCGGAACCATCAACTGTCCACTGAGATCCGAGCAGGAGACGGAGAAAATATCTCCATGCTGTATCTCACCATATCTCATAGTATATGGCTAGTTGCGGGATGCATGCCACTACATGATTGTAGGTGGAAACTAAATATGTCCCTCTCGACACCCGTCACCGGATGACCCTGGCTGTTGGTGTCCCTCTCGATACCCGTTCCCGGATGACCCTGGCTGTTGGCGTCCCTCCTGACGGATGATCCTGACTGTGGATGTCCCACTTTTCACCCGTCCAAGGCTGACCCTGACTGTTGGTGTCCCTCTTGAGACCAGTTTGACGGATGACCCTGAGTGATGTCTCTGTTAATAAATGATGAAACTGAAATTCCTTAAATCATGTATTCATTGCTACACTGCTACAGGTAAAAAAAAAAGGCCTTTGTTTCTACAAGGACGTTTGTTTGTGGTCTTCGCAGCATCCAGAATCAAACTAAGACGATGTCCGCGGATGATTGGGCCTTTGACAGACAGATGCTGAGCGACAGAGTTAATAGCTAATCATAATATTTAACTGGGTAAATCTAAGTACGTTCAGAGCTTTAAGTGAACGACAAGCGAAGCTTTGTGTTCTGTATGGGTCCGTAAGCTGTGAAAATCAAACAATACATAGTTCTCACGAGCCGACCCGGGACTTCTGAGTACCCACGTAAATTATTGTCAGCGTGCTCAGCGGATTAGTCATACCAAGAACATATACAAATATGTCGGTCGACTTCCGGTGGTCGCGACGTAGTCACGGTTACGGTGATTTAATATAAAGTATTTGTAGATGAGACTAGTGTAGATCAAGGTCTGTGTCGGAGTAACATCTGAACTTCGTGTGAGCACGACTTCTGAGAATAGGTCACGTGAGATACGGATTATTGATCATCACGAAAAGTAAGTTGGCGTAACTATGGCTACCATCACGTAATATCGACATTCGTTTGTTATCATTATCATTGTTTTTTTTTCATAACCTCCTATAGACGTTTTATCTATTTTGTGTCTCGGGTTGTCTTACAAAGTTCTGTAAGACAGCTCTTTCCCCTAAATATATCATTGTCTCTTTGCTGTCACTTAGAACTACAAATTCACGGCTTGATCAGTCCCTCGATTACATACTATATATTATATAATTTATAGAATTAATACGCCGACATATTAAACTATCCTCTCAGAAGGTTTTTTCTCTAGTCATTATTTTACTGATTCAGTCTGTCTTGTTAATGGAGAACATATGACTATCAATTTGGGATAATTTTTATTTAAACATACTTTATTTGCAGCAAATATATACAAATGGATTGGACACAAGATATGTTATCAATCTTGTCGAATAATAGTTAGTAATCTACGGCGAATGACATTATCTAACATATATATGGAGAGAGAGAAAGACAGAGAGAGTGGGGGGGAGACAGAGAGAGTGGGGGGAGAGACAGAGAGAGAGGGGGGGGTAAAGAGGGAGAGAAGGGGGAGAGAAAGAGAGAGAGAGGGAGGTAGAGACAGAGACAAAGAGAGGGAGGGAGGGAAAGAAAGAGAGGGAGGGAGAGAAAGAGAGAGAGTAGGGGTAAGAGAGAGGGAGAGAAAGGTAGAGAGAGAAAGAGAGAGATTGGGGGATTAGAGAGAGGGAGAGAGAGGGAAGGGAGAGATTACAAATAAACAGATTTCAGTACTGGTGTGTAAACATGAAATAGGAAGAAGACATGAATTAGTTTATTCTGACATGTAACAGTCTACTCAAATGATTGTCATTACATGTAACTCAGGAAAAAAATTAAAATATAATAATATGGATTTTTTTCGCTTTTTTATTTACTTGCTAGAATCAAATTTTTGCCAAAAATCATCATTAGGTAAAAAATTACTCTGGATTTTTTTATCTTCTCATAGGAATACACCTTACATTGAGCTTGTCAGGGTTGTTGTGAACTTTCGTCATAATTACAGCAAAAAATTCAGTATCCGATTTGTTTCCGTTTTTAAACTTTTTTTATATACAAAGACATAGATTCGTAGATTGAATTCTGCAGCTTGACAGATCGCACAAAAGTTTCTCTCTTTAAAGTTTGGAGACAAAGAAATACCGGGTTCAACATATATGATATATATTAAAACATAGTCGTCTCAGAATGATTAAATATTTACTTCTCTTTTACTCTTTCAGAAGAAAATGGACGTCGGATTCTTTCGAAACTGTGGTGATAATATCAAGACAAAAGACAATGAAAAAAGCGCCATATGGTGTCACACATACTCCGGGGGAATACTTTTCAGTAAACATTGTCTTCGTTATGGAGAGACAGTCAACGTTGAAGTAACCGGAAATGGCCATGCCGCCATTGGATTTACACAGCATGACCCGCGACATATAAGTTGCATAAAGGATGCCGTGTTGAAAAACAAAATCAAACTTTTGACAAATGTGCGAACACTACAAAGAGCGGGCACTATCAAGCTTCGCGCGTACGAAGATCACGTGAACATCACATGCAATGGTTGTTCTGTTGAGAATGAGAGAGACTCCAGTCAGCCGGTGTGGCTTGTAATCAACCTCAAATTCGGAAACGTACAGGCTAACATGTGTAAGTTAAATTTGGTCTGCATTCATTAAATATCACAATTTTGTTCACAAAACTGTGTACTATAATTGATGTATTTTCAATGGTTCATAAATTTTCACGGTTTGTCCAGAAGAATCAGGAACAATGATATACATACTATGATTATCATGATTTATCTTATTTTCAAGATACGTTTGTCTCTATTTTCGCTACATCATTTTATCCGCGAAAATGTCTATTTTCTTTCAATTATCCGTTAATGGACGAAATTAAGCTGAAATTAAAGCAGTCTATAGAAAGTACCCGAGGTGTATAGAGTTGGTTCGTACCACTGGTTAGTTTCTTAAGTATTACTTGAGTATTAGAGTCAACCTGAAAAGCTACTTATATTTCTTTTTTCGCTTGCAGTCACGAGAGAAAATCATCCGCTCCAGTTTCATCACGTGACTGGCGAAAACATCGATCTAATGGACAAAGAGTGCCGGTCGGCCCGACTCAAAGTGGAAAACCCTGCGTCGGTGTGCTGTCTCGCGCGCAGAATCTACCCAGGTCAAGGCCTTATGCTCAAGGTCAAACCACTACAAGAGCGAGGCAGAGTTCCGAGCAGATTTCATCTCACACTGGGAATGACTACTTTAAAGCCCGAGGAGCTCCGAAGAGATGACCCGGAGTCGTTTTCCGTGTGTGAAAGAGTAAAGAAACCTAAAAGATGGCGACACATGAAGCGTTTCGAGGACGAGATCGTCGACGGGAAGCGACGAAACAGATGTACGGGATATCTCCAGGTGATGGTTACACCGGAAGGTGAGGTGAAATATGCACATTCCTCCGACGTGTTCGGTCACGTGACAGTGCCGATTAGCAAAGTTGAGTCTGGGGTGTTAATCGTGTTTGAACTATTCCGAGTGACACTGGACATTACGAAGACATTCGACTTACAGGTCTACGACTATGCAGATATCAACTTCGGACAGTTCGAGAGGCGCAAAACAAGCATAAGACAGTCTGCGCATGTGCACAAACATGATACAGGTTACGTGGAATTCCAACCAAAATGTAGAGAATTGGTTACAAAAGTGCCATCAAACGCTTTATAAAACTGGAAGTGATATTATTACGTCGTTTTGTTTGTGATTTCTACACTGTTACGTTGAACTAATTAATAACTAAGTTATATCAGACATCAAGATGGATTATGTATGTGTTGTGTTTTACTGTGAAATCATTCGTTTTCGTGGGGGATTTATTTCATTCGTTTCGTGGATACTTTTTATCAATGAATTCATTTGTCCACAAACTGTTAAAACTGGTATAGTAAACTTATCGAGCGATATTCATCAACGCAATCAAATGTTCACGAATAATATTTTTTATAAATAAACGAAAATTGAGCCCCACGTACATATCTGATTTTACAGTACCGATGGCCACTTATCTAGCATGTCCTTTGCTTTACATGAATTTGATAAACTTCTATTTAACTTCGATTAATTTGTTTTATTTGATATTTAACTTAAACGTAGAAATATTAAGTTTTAACCTAAATGTATCTGAGTTAAGTTTGATATAAATGTACATGGTGTATAATTTATTTTAATTTCCTTGACATATTTCTGACATTAATTTGTCCGACGTATGTTTGACCTTAATTTGCATGACTTATGTTTGACCTTAATTTGCATGACTTATGTTTGACCTTAATTTGCATGACTTATGTTTGACCTTAATTTGCATGACTTATGTTTGACCTTAGTTTCTCCGACTTATGATTGGCCTTGACCTCCATTTATCTGACTGTTTAGTCTATATGTATGTTTACTCTATATATAACCTCTGTTTGACCTTTAACACCTGTCATCGTTTTGCCGGGTAAGAATTGTCTGATATGATTTTATCAACTTCCGGTATGTGACCAGAATCTTACCAGTCCTTCAGCCTTCGTCAGTCGTAAAGAGACAACACGGTTGATGTGTTAAACAATAAAACACCTTCTAATCTGTCCTTAACATCGTCTGTGCTGGTTTATGAATTCAAATGTATTTATATTGTGTTTACAATGAAATGAACGCAATAAAGTATAGACCTCTAATGTTTGTTTTAACACGGAAGCAATTATAGATGTTTCGTATGTAAAAGATGTTACAATGTTTAGGATAACAACTGAAGTATCTTTCTGGTAAGACGTATCATGTGTTCAAGAATGTGGTCAGTCAAAGTGAGATTTTAACCATGATGACGTCATTCAGTTATGGCTGTAGTAAACATCAGTTGCACCAAAAAGCAGAATTGAGGGCTTGTTGACAGGACCTGCAAAAGCGGCAGGATCCTTGATAGAAAACGGAAACAAAACAATATATCTAAATACATGTTCTATTAACGGAAATGGCTAGTGAAGTTCAAGTATATGGATATCGGGTTTGTAAATATTCCGAAAGATAGGACAATTATAAATACTCTTCCTTCTTCGGCGGTGTTTCTGAAATTTAATATGGAAAATGAAACATAATACTGATATAAAACATAGAGAGGTTGTGTGTTTACTGATATAAAACATGGCGAGGTTGTGTGTTTACTGATATAAAACGGTCGAGGTTGTGTGTTTACTGATATAAAACACGTCGAGGTTGTGTGTTTACTGATATAAAACATGGCGAGGTTGTGTGTTTACTGATATAAAACACGTCGAGGTTGTGTGTTTACTGATATAAAACACGTCGAGGTTGTGTGTTTACTGATATAAAACACGTCGAGGTTGTGTGTTTACTGATATAAAACATGGCGAGGTTGTGTGTTTACTGATATAAAACACGTCGAGGTTGTGTGTTTACTGATATAAAACATGGCGAGGTTGTGTGTTTACTGATATAAAACATGTCGAGGTTGTGTGTTTACTGATATAACACACGTCGAGGTTGTGTGTTTACTGATATAAAACATGTCGAGGTTGTGTGTTTACTGATATAAAACATGTCGAGGTTGTGTGTTTACTGATATAAAACATGGCGAGGTTGTGTGTTTACTGATATAAAACATGGCGAGGTTGTGTGTTTACTGATATAAAACATGGCGAGGTTGTGTGTTTACTGATATAAAACATGGCCAAGTTTTGTGTTTACTGATATAAAACATGGCGAGGTTGTGTGTTTACTGATATAAAACATGGCGAGGTTGTGTGTTTACTGATATAACACACGTCGAGGTTGTGTGTTTACTGATATAAAACACGTCGAGGTTGTGTGTTTACTGATATAAAACACGTCGAGGTTGTGTGTTTACTGATATAACACACGTCGAGGTTGTGTGTTTACTGATATAAAACATGGCGAGGTTGTGTGTTTACTGATATAAAACACGTCGAGGTTGTGTGTTTACTGATATAAAACACGTCGAGGTTGTGTGTTTACTGATATAAAACACGTCGAGGTTGTGTGTTTACTGATATAAAACATGTCGAGGTTGTGTGTTTACTGATATAAAACATGGCGAGGTTGTGTGTTTACTGATATAAAACACATCGAGGTTGTGTGTTTACTGATATAAAACATGGCGAGGTTGTGTGTTTACTAATATAAAACATGACGAGGTTGTGTGTTTACTGATATAAAACACGTCGAGGTTGTGTGTTTACTGATATAACACACGTCGAGGTTGTGTGTTTACTGATATAAAACACGTCGAGGTTGTGTGTTTACTGATATAAAACATGGCGAGGTTGTGTGTTTACTGATATAAAACATGGCGAGGTTGTGTGTTTACTGATATAAAACATGGCGAGGTTGTGTGTTTACTGATATAAAACACGTCGAGGTTGTGTGTTTACTGATATAAAACACGTCGAGGTTGTGTGTTTACTGATATAAAACATGGCGAGGTTGTGTGTTTACTGATATAAAACATGGCGAGGTTGTGTGTTTACTGATATAAAACATGGCGAGGTTGTGTGTTTACTGATATAAAACATGGTCGAGGTTGTGTGTTTACTGATATAAAACATGTGCGAGGTTGTGTGTTTACTGATATAAAACATGGCGAGGTTGTGTGTTTACTGATATAAAACATGGCGAGGTTGTGTGTTTACTGATATAAAACACGTCGAGGTTGTGTGTTTACTGATATAAAACATGGCCAAGTTTTGTGTTTACTGATATAAAACATGGCGAGGTTGTGTGTTTACTGATATAAAACATGGCGAGGTTGTGTGTTTACTGATATAAAACACGTCGAGGTTGTGTGTTTACTGATATAAAACATGGCGAGGTTGTGTGTTTACTGATATAAAACATGGCCAAGTTTTGTGTTTACTGATATAACACACGTCGAGGTTGTGTGTTTACTGATATAAAACACGTCGAGGTTGTGTGTTTACTGATATAAAACATGGCCAAGTTTTGTGTTTACTGATATAAAACATGGCGAGGTTGTGTGTTTACTGATATAAAACACGTCGAGGTTGTGTGTTTACTGATATAAAACACGTCGAGGTTGTGTGTTTACTGATATAAAACACGTCGAGGTTGTGTGTTTACTGATATAACACACGTCGAGGTTGTGTGTTTACTGATATAAAACATGGCGAGGTTGTGTGTTTACTGATATAAAACATGGCGAGGTTGTGTGTTTACTGATATAAAACACGTCGAGGTTGTGTGTTTACTGATATAACACACGTCGAGGTTGTGTGTTTACTGATATAAAACAGGGCGAGGTTGTGTGTTTACTGATATAACACACAAGGTTTTGTGTTTACTGATATAAAACACGAGGTTGTGTGAGGTTGTGTGTTTACTGATATAAAACATGTGTTTACTGATATAAAACATGGCCAAGTTTTGTGTTTACTGATATAAAACATGGCGAGGTTGTGTGTTTACTGATATAAAACATGGCCAAGTTTTGTGTTTACTGATATAAAACACGTCGAGGTTGTGTGTTTACTGAAATAAAACAATTCGAGGTTGTGTGTTTACTGATATAAAACATGGCGAGGTTGTGTGTTTACTGATATAAAATATGGCGAGGTTTTGTGTTTACTGATATAAAACATGGCGAGGTTTTGTGTTTACTGATATAAAACATGGCGAGGTTGTGTGTTTACTGACATAAAACATGGCGAGGTTGTGTGTTTACTGATATAAAACATGGCGAGGTTGTGTGTTTACTGATATAAAACACGTCGAGGTTGTGTGTTTACTGATATAAAACATGGCAAGGTTGTGTGTTTACTGATATAACACACGTCGAGGTTTTGTGTTTACTGATATAAAACATGGCGAGGTTTTGTGTTTACTGATATAAAACATGGCGAGGTTGTGTGTTTACTGACATAAAACATGGCGAGGTTGTGTGTTTACTGATATAAAACATGGCGAGGTTGTGTGTTTACTGATATAAAACACGTCGAGGTTGTGTGTTTACTGATATAAAACATGGTGAGGTTGTGTGTTTACTGATATAAAACATGGCGAGGTTATGTGTTTACTGATATAAAACATGGCGAGGTTTTGTGTTTACTGATATAAAACATGGCGAAGCGGCCGACCCCGTAAAACGACCGCCATGGATGACCGTCGTATACGATTGATACACTTGCGCAATCGATTCGTAACCGCAGTAGAGACTACAAGGACATTGTATGGGCGTCGTGTCTCTCCCCAAACAGTCCACAGCAGGTTGAGGACCTACCAATTAAAAGCGCGGCGTTCCTACACTGGACCCAATTTGTTGCGACGTCACCGTAATAATCGGCGTAACTGGACCCGTGTTCACCGTCGTTGGGCCTTACGACAATGGAACAATGTTCTGTTTTCAGATGAGTCCAGGTTTTGTCTGCAACACGGTGACGGAAGGCGCAGAGTGTGGAGGCGACGAGGGGAGCGTTTTGTGAACTGGTGCGTCGCAGAACGGGACCGCTTTGGCGGCGGAAGTGTAATGGTTTGGGGTGGTATTTGTAGGGGGACTCGTACCAGGCTTGTTGTGTTAAATGGCAATTTAACCGGCATTCGATATCGGGACGAAATTTTAATACCAATGGTTCTGCCATTCTTAAGACGCCATGGCGTTGGCGCCATTTTTCAACAGAATAACGCACCAGCGCACACCAGTCGCGTCAGCAGAACTTTCTTGCAGCAGAATAACGTACAGGTGTTAGATTGGCCATCTAAATCACCTGATTTGTCACCGATTGAGCATGTCTTGGACGTTCTTTGGCGACGCGTGAGAGAACGTCAAAATCAGCCGTCAAACTTGCAGGAGCTGGCCCAAGCCTTGATCGCTGAATGGAACAACATCTCTCCTCGAATTATCCGCCGGTTTACGAGTTCCATGCGACGACGCTGCAATCCTGTTTACTTCGCTAACGGTGGCCATACCCGTTACTAATGGTGTTACCTTTGAAATTGACCCCAACGTCCTTTACGGTCGAATAAAATCAACTGAACGCAAAGTTTTATAATGAACCATGACTGCAGTTTTATCAGAATTGATCAATTACTTTATTCGTACATGATTGGTAAGGATTTATGAAGGGGTTAATTAATTAATCACAAAATAAAGTAGTGTTACCTTTCTTTTTTTGTTTAGTATATATACACGAAACAAAGTATGTCATAAAAACAATGGACATAACTCTTACCAAAAACATTCTGCAATTGACTGACACGTTATTCGAGATACCACAGTATCTTACAAATCCCGTAATTTTTTAGAAGTTTCAAGACATGTCAAATGCAACAAACATTAATGTTGCCACTGGTTCTAAGGTGACATAAAGATCCTTTGATCACGATAATTATCACAAGTCGGCTTGATAGGACGTCGTAACACGATAATTATCACGACTAGTCGCTGTGAAATACATTTTCGTATTTTGTGTTGTTTATCCTATTGGATAATAAATGTTCTCACCAGCGCCGTGAACTCTAATCCCAGTCCATGCTTGTGTCATGAACTCCAGTCCGTACTATCTATGTGTTTATAAAAATGGAAAACGTATGTGCTGTGTTATAACTCGGATAAAAGACATCACAAGACAGAATCATTTCTAGTAAACATTTGTAAGGTCAGTTTGGCAGGATGTCACGGAAAGGTCATTCTGTCAACAGACATTTTGTGTAGGTCATTTATAGATAATGCCACAAGCCACCTTACCAGACGATGGATACACGCGCGATATGAACTGCTGATGGTTACTCCAGTCCAGAGCCAAACCATACACTATTAGGCCCCATTAGCCCTTTTGTCAGTTTAATCAGGCTCGTGTCCAGGTTTAGACAGTTCAGTGTGATCTCACTATACAAGTCTTTGATGACCAATTTTTGGTGAACATTGTTGCTGCGTGGTCCTTTCTTTGACTAGGACTCTGAACACTGACAAAAAGTACAGATTAGATGATGTGTCGGAATCCCTATCAAAGCGTCATGTGTACTGTATATATAACACACACTAAGGTGATAATACAAACCAGATGGACGAAACATCACAGGATCACTTCGTTACCCTGAATACACCTACCGTAGATAATTACCCTGACCTCACTCCACTGGTCAACAGGTCAGTACGGTACGGCCATATCAATCTGTAACAGAAATATCATAACATACCAACTAATATTTAAATAAACAATATTTATTAAACTTTTATACATTTTTTTCTCTGAATTTATCGCACAGCAGCGCAACCGTCGGGGTTTAATTTGGCGGTTAGTGATAGGACTGTTTGTCGTCTGCTGATGTTCCAAATTAGGCGGGAGTATGCACGGGTTGTATGCGAGGGAACGCTGACTACAGGATCTCGTGAAGGCATGGAGACGGTATAGTTCCAGCTGTATTTGTGAGTACTTCATTATTTTTACTTTGTCAATATATGAAATAGTCAAACATGCATCTTCATATTTTACTGATATACATCGGTCATAAAATGTGCAAGCTTTGTAATGATTTCGACCTTTCAACAACAATACGACAGATATCCGGTTAACACCTGAACATTTGTTGTTTAATGGATTCTACTTTGAAGTTTCTGACAAAAAATGGATTAGATTTTTCTGATTTCAAGCTGTCAGAGAGTTTGATATCAGACGAAATTTAAGACGAAATTCCGGTAACAGATCGGAAATCCGTACAATGTCTCACTTGAAATTAAAATTTCTAGCACGTTTTCAATCTCCCTCTCATTGGCTTCAAATTACGGTCTCACACACTCGTATTTTGATTTATATCGGTTCGTCTCAATATAATGTAGTTTTATACTCTTGTGTCTGGTTTTGAATTTGTTTTCAATTTCAGTGTTTTTGTGGCTCGCGAATTCACCCCGGCTAATTTCAGTATCTGTTTTTAAATATTAGTATATATTTTGTTACCTCACTATTATAAAACTCACTACAGGTAGATGTATATTTGATTTTGTTTTGTAGCTAATAAGGTAACAGTTTCAGATATACAGATAAATATTTTGTATATCCTATTTCGATCCCGATGCTGTCATTTTCTTGTTGTATGTATCACCCTAATAACATTCCATTTATCACCAGTTACATCAGTTCAATATTAAAACGCATACCAGAAATGATATATTGGTTAGTTCAAAATATTGTGTTACATCGTATGTTAGAACTTTGTATCGGCTAGTCCCACTGTTCAGAATATACATATGTATAGAACTTTAATCTGAATGAGTGTTGAAAACTACATTTATTGAATTATGTCAGTGTACCTCCATTGGATTTGTGATCACAGTTAAACATTTTTTATTGGACTGCATTGACCTTGTCTACTCGAGAATGTTTTATCGTAACACTACAGGTCTAAAGACACTTTTTGAAACAGTTGAGATTGATAAAATTCTAGGTTATCTTGTGTATTATAGACTATGATTTACCATTATGATCTATTGTGATGATATATCCATTTAAGGTTTTTATCATTTATCTTTTACCTTTTAGTTTGCTTGATGTTGTTTCATTTTTGGATCGCTGTGTTTTTACCGGTTTCTGGCCCTAATGACCTTTTATGTGTTGATGGGTCGTTAAGACTGTAATAAAATAATAATAATGTGATTGTGACATTTATTTCTGCTGTAGTTTGGATTTCCCTCCGTGGTCTCCTAGGTTTCAATCATTTGGGCTCCTAGCATGACGATACTTTTGTACAATCTTCGAGGTTACAGGTGATAGACACTGCAGGTGGACTAATAGTCCCCGTGGTTTATCGTAACCTCCATACAACGTTTGTTTTAATTCATTCAAATAATAGCACGGTTCAGAGTGTATTATCAGATATATGAGAATTAGGATATTCGTTAAATTATGGGGCTAGTGCACCTCCCCATCTAGATTTTCACGTCTTAGGTTCAAAACTAAGACCCTTAGCATCACTGACGATTCCTAGAAGGACGAAACAGCTGTATGATGTAGCATCACTGATGAGTCCTTGAAGGACGAAACAGCTGTATGATGTAGCATCACTGACGAGTCCTTGAAGGACGAAACAGTTGTATGATGCAGCATCACTGATGAGTCCTAAAAGTACGAAACAGCTGTATGATGTAACATCACTGATGAGTCCTAAGAGGACGAAACAGCTGTATGATGTAACATCACTGATGAGTCCTAAGAGGACGAAACAGCTGTATGATGTAACATCACTGATGAGCCCTAAAAGTACGAAACAGCTGTATGATGTAACATCACTGACGAGTCCTAAAAGTACGAAACAGCTGTATGATGTAGCATCACTGACGAGTCCTAAAAGGACGAAACAGCTGTATGACATATCATCACTGACGGGTCCTAAAAGGACGAAACAGCTGTATGATATATCATCACTGACGAGTCATAGACGGAGTAAACAGCTGTATGATATAACATCACTGACGAGTCCTAAAAGTACGAAACAGCTGTATGATGTAGCATCACTGATGAGTCCTAAGAGGACGAAACAGCTGTATGATGTAGCATCACTGTCGAGTCATAGAAGGACGAAACTGCTGTATGATGTAACATCACTGACGTGTCCTAGAAGGACGAAACAGCTGTATGATGTAACATCACTGACGAGTCCTGGAAGGACGAAACAACTGTATGATGTAACATCACTGACGTGTCCTAGAAGGACGAAACAGCTGTATGATGTAACATCACTGATGAGTCCTAAAAGTACGAAACAGCTGTATGATGTAACATCACTGACGAGTCCTAAAAGTACGAAACAGCTGTATGATGTAGCATCACTGACGTGTCCTAGAAGGACGAAACAGCTGTATGATGTAGCATCACTGACGAGTCCTAGAAGAACGAAAGAACTGTATGATGTAGCATCACTGACGATGCCTAGAAGAACGAAAGAACTGTATGATGTAGCATCACTGACGCGTCCTAGAAGAACGAAAGAACTGTATGATGTAACATCACTGACGAGTCCTAAAAGTACGAAACAGCTGTATGATGTAGCATCACTGACGGGTCCTAAAAGGACGAAACAGCTGTATGATATATCATCACTGACGAGTCATAGACGGAGTAAACAGCTGTATGATATAACATCACTGACGAGTCCTAAAAGTACGAAACAGCTGTATGATGTAGCATCACTGATGAGTCCTAAGAGGACGAAACAGCTGTATGATGTAGCATCACTGATGAGTCCTAGAAGGACGAAACAGCTGTATGATGTAACATCACTGATGAGTCTTAAAAGTACGAAACAGCTGTATGATGTAGCATCACTGATGAGTCCTAGAAGGACGAAACAGCTGTATGATGTAGCATCACTGACGAGTCCTAAAAGGACGAAACAGCTGTATGATATATCATCACTGACGAGTCATAGACGGAGTAAACAGCTGTATGATATAACATCACTGACGAGTCCTAAAAGTACGAAACAGCTGTATGATATATAATCACTGACGAGTCATAGACGGAGTTAACAGCTGTATGATGTAGCATCACTGACGAGTCCTAAAGGGACGAAACAGCTGTATGATGCAGCATCACTGATGAGTCCTAAAGGGACGAAACAGCTGTATGATTTAACATCACCGATGAGTCCTAAAAAGACGAAACAGCTGTACGATGCAGTTTGATTTCTTGTTTGGCCCTACTGTATTTAACTCTAAATTTGTATTAAAAGTGAGATTAATTTGTGTGTCTTTTGTACAATCTTGTACCAGGAAGTCAAGTAATGGAAGCCATTATTATACCGTAACTCATTGAGACAATTACTTGTGATATTTTTTTTATACTTGAAGAAGCGCTTAAGTAAAATATTGACATTTCATTATTAACTTGCTATTTTCTCGCAAAATCATATTTTAATCACCATCGACAGGATCACGTGTAAATTTTAACAATTAGGTGGCGTGTTGTTCACTTGCGATGACGCAGAACAAACACTGTAAAGTGTGTCAGATTCACTCTATATATATAACACAACACATTTTATCAATTAAATCTTACAGCCAACCGCTTTCATAATTTTCGGATCTACAGTATAGGACTGTTTCTCTTGATTAGAGCAGAAAAAGATAAAAAGGAATTTTATGTCGATAATATTGTATTAAGTTTGCGGTAACCAATACCGTGGGGTGATTTATTAGAATAAATACGGATATACATTGTGGTATAACTAGAGAAGGATGGTAGATGATAAATGAGGAAAGGAAAGATAATGTTGAGATGGTAGGTGATGTGATGGTAGGTGATGTTAGGAGATGGTAGGTGATGTGATGGTAGGTGATGGTAGGAGATGGTAGGTGATGTGATGGTATGTGATGAGATGGTAGGTGATGTGATGGTATGTGATGAGATGGTAGGTGATGTGATGGTAGGTGATGGTAGATGATGTGATGGTAGGTGATGAGATGGTAGGTGATGTGATGGCAGGTGATGTGATGGCAGGTGATGAGTTGGTAGGTGATGAGATGGTAGGTGATGTGATGGTAGGTGATGAGATGGTAGGTGATGTGATGGCAGGTGATGTGATGGTAGGTGATGAGTTGGTAGGTGATGAGATGGTAGGTGATGTGATGGTAGGTGATGAGATGGTAGGTGATGTGATGGTAGATGATGGTAGGTGATGTGATGGTAGGTGATGAGATGGTAGGTGATGTGATGGTAGGTGATGTGATGGCAGGTGATGTGATGGCAGGTGATGAGTTGGTAGGTGATGAGATGGTAGGTGATGTGATGGTAGGTGATGAGATGGTAGGTGATGTGATGGCAGGTGATGTGATGGCAGGTGATGAGTTGGTAGGTGATGAGATGGTAGGTGATGTGATGGTAGGTGATGAGATGGTAGGTGATGTGATGGTAGATGATGGTAGGTGATGTGATGGTAGGTGATGAGATGGTAGGTGATGTGATGGTAGGTGATGTGATGGTAGGTGATGTGATGGCAGGTGATGAGTTGGTAGGTGATGAGATGGTAGGTGATGTGATGGTAGGTGATGAGATGGTAGGTGATGTGATGGCAGGTGATGTGATGGCAGGTGATGAGTTGGTAGGTGATGAGATGGTAGGTGATGTGATGGTAGGTGATGAGATGGTAGGTGATGAGATGGTAGGTGATGTGATGGTAGGTGATGAGATGGTAGGTGATGTGATGGTAGATGATGGTAGGTGATGTGATGGTAGGTGATGAGATGGTAGGTGATGTGATGGTAGGTGATGTGATGGCAGGTGATGTGATGGCAGGTGATGAGTTGGTAGGTGATGAGATGGTAGGTGATGTGATGGTAGGTGATGAGATGGTAGGTGATGTGATGGCAGGTGATGTGATGGCAGGTGATGAGTTGGTAGGTGATGAGATGGTAGGTGATGTGATGGTAGGTGA